CTGCGTGTAAATCTCTGGGCTACCTTGCTCCTCTATCTCTATCTATATCTCTATCTCTATCTCTATCTCTATCTCTATCTCTATCTCTATCTCTATCTCTATCTCTATCTCTATCTCTATCTCTATCTATCTATCTATCTATCTATCTATCTATGTTTACATATGTATAAACCCTAAGACCCTAAACCGTAAACCCTAAGATCCTCAACGACCCTGAATCCCAAAACCCAATCTGGATAGTTCTCTAAATTAGGGTCCCTTTTAGGGTCCTGTTATAAGGGTGCCGTACTATATTAGGGACCTAAAAAAGGACCCTAATTTTGAAAGCTACCCATCTGAGCACCTGGCTAGAATCAACACATTGCGTCGGCTGGTCCGAGCCTCCTCTCTGCTTATAAGGTCTTGGATTTAGGGTTTAGGGTCGGGGTGTGAACGGTTTAGGGTTTAGGGTTGATAGGGTTTATAGGGTTTAGCGCTTAGGGGTTTAGGGGTTTAGGGTTTAGGGTCCGGGTGTGAACGGGGAGAAGGTATGATGTGCGAAGATGCACCAGCAATCGGCACAACGTAGGCTCGTCTTATCCAGAAGGTGCCTGCTCGAATGAGCAGCAGTTGCAGTATCGGAGGGCTGGAGTAGCAGTAGAGCGAGACGCAGCTGCAGTATACTGATATGATCCCACTGAACCCTGAACCTTAAGACCTATAGTCATAGCGGCCCCCAAAACCCTAAACCGTTACTATAGCCCTAAGCCCTACGCCCTCAACGCTGACTATAACAAGCTAAACCCTAAACCCTAAACCCTTTAACCCTAAACCCTAAAACCCTAAACCCTAAACCCTATAACCCTTAACCCTAAAACCCTACAAACCCTCATGCTGCAGTCGCTTCGAACCTTGGGCTCGGTGCTTTAGGCTTCGAGTCACAAGGCCGGAACCAGAAATCCCCGCCGACGTCTGACCTCCTTCATTCCATTTGAAATTCCATAATTATGAAGAGCCCGAAACCCAAGGGTAAGAGGCTGAAGGTTTGGGGTTGAAAGATAAATAGTTTCCTGCTCTCTGCCTCCCTCTCTGTCTCTCTCTGCCTCCCTCTCTGTCTCTCTCTCCCTCTCTCTCTCTCCAGCGTGACGGGCGACACCTTGCATCTCTGGAGATGCCGGCGAAATGTAGCCCGGCATGTCGGCATGTGTTGCGTGGGCGTGGGGCGCTTAAAATCAATTAACTTCAATTAAAATAAAAATTGGAACCAATTAAGTTCCGCCTGACATATGTGTGACATATGTCGGCATGTGTTGCGTGGGGCGCGAGCAGAAATTCAGTTCAACTCAAGAAAAACCATTCAATTTGCATATGTGCGACACATGTCGGCATGTACAAATCGAAAAATGTACCAAGTTCTAAGGGGCTATCAGGCTCAGCTGGTTCCGGGGCCGCAACCATGTCTCACGCCGACTCCGGACACGAACACAGACGTAGCGCGAGAGTGGGGTTGGGTCCTGCCTCACTCTCCACACGCCCTGCAAGCAAGCAAGCAGGCAAGGTGGACGGGTTGCGCAAACTCCCAAGCAGAGCAAAAAGAAAGAGGGAGATAAAGAGAGACGGCGGCAAAGACCCGTCCCGGAGGCAAGACCAGGAACACCGCTGCGAGAGCGCGTGCCCGGTCTCCTCAGAGAGAGAAAGCGAGAAAGCTGCACCTTTCTTTTTTTCACTCCAAAAAGAAGTGCGCTGACGCGCAGGGGGGAAGCAACCCCTTCCCCAAACCTGCAGAAAGAAAGACGAGAGAGAGAAAGGGAGTCAAATTGAGTCAGAACACAGTTCCAAGCCAGATAAATGGGAAACACCAAGACCAAGACCAAAATACCTCTGCAGGCAGGTTGCATAAACGCAACTGAAAACCTAATGTCGGACAGACTGTAGACATTACTCAGATGCAGTCGTCAGCCAGATCGTCTGGGTATGTCCCTGGTGCCTTCTGGAGACTGCAAAGACGGGACGAAATCGTGTGCGCTTGTGGCAATTGGTCAAGACTTTTTCTCCCACCCGTTCAGTGCCTTGAAAGACTTGCGCTCATGAATGTTCAGGTTCTCGCAACGTCGCCGTGACAGGGAAGATGAGGTGCCAAATGAGAAGGGAAGTCTGTTCCTTGACAACAGCCATAACAGCCATGGCTCAGGCGGACGGTAAGCCCGTTCGAGTCAAGAAGAAGCGGAAGCTTGGAGCTCGGCCACATAAGTGCGTGGACAACAGGTGAGCCAGTGTCCTTGCGACACCATCTCTATAAGTCTGTGCCAGGCGAAAGATCCGGTATCCGAAAGGCTTCGACCCGGAAAAGCCTGGACCTCCTCCAGATCCGGAAAGGCCAGGACGCTGCCGGCGAAGTCTCAACAGTCGCCTGTTGTCACTTTGTGATTGGAGGTGGCTTCCAAAGCGGGAGCGATCAGAATTTAAGCGGTCCTGTCGTGTTTATTGCCGTGCTGCTGCTGGCGGCTGCTAATGCTGCTGCTCCTGTCACTTTTGCCTGTTTCCAAGTGCTCGCTTGCACAGCATGACAGGAAGAAGATGCGAAAGAGGGATAAGCACTTGCTTCGGGGCCCTCAGGGGCAGCGGTCTCAGCGTCATCGGACTCGGACAATTCACAAGCTCAGCCGGTTGTTAGAAGTCTGGGCCTGCCCCAGGGCGATCACCACGGAGGACTTTCGCAAACAGGGACCATCGACAGCCCAAGTCGAGGCTAGCTGCGTGGGTCACAGCACGGCATTTCGTGGTGGCTTGCCAGCTCCTGTTTCCACCATCCTTCCTCCATGTGCGTCTGCCAGGTTTCCGGTAGGTCCATTTCGGAAAGGCGACCAGCATGAGATGTGCATGCACTCGGCGCGCCAGGTCTCGAAAGACGCAAGTGGACCCTCGAGAAAGAGTGGAAGAAAAGCTAAAGGCGACGCGCGGTGAGACACAAATGCCACGGTTCGAGACTGATGCATGCCGCGTTCCCAGCCGAGCCCAGGCAAGTGAGCGACAGCACCTGAAGAGCTTCCCTGACTCTTCACCCAAGTGCCATAATGGTTGTAGGAGGAGTCGCGCAATGCAAGCACGTGGAACCCAGTCTCATCAGATCTCAGTCAGACATTCCTGACACTGCGGAAGATAGGTAGCCAGATAGCCTTTCGAAATGCTGCGGATACCCTTCTTAGGCGAGCAGGTTTATGCAGCCGGTGCAGGTCAATCAGAATGCACTCGAGCATGACGTACTTGCCTGGAGGTCTTGCCACGCCTGTGGAAACAGAGCCGGGAAGGGGGGTCACCTGTGTCTT